GTGTTTCTGTGAAAAGAAAAAAAAAAAAAAGACTCTATACTGATTGCTTTTTAATCTCTTTGATCAGCTGAGGAAACTGGGTGCTCAGGAGTTTATTGACAGAATCAGTTCAAAAAGACCTCCTGTCGCTGGGGTCCCTCCAACACCTCAAACTCCCCACTCCTTCCTTTCACCCCCAGCCTTCCACTCCCAATTGAATGACTGAAATAGCAGAAAATAAATTCTGTTTTTCCAACCTTTAAAACGGTGGCGTTGGACTGGGGGCAGAGGGGTTGGCCAAAGTAAAAGCGATTAATTTGAGGCAGTCTGGCCACAGTGTTACATTTTCCTATAGGCAGCATCATTATCAATTAGACTCCAAACAAAAGACTCCATCTCTATTTCAAGCTGCTCGGTTTATTTTGTTGTTGTTGACAACGTTGCTAGGAAATATTTCCAATCGCACAAAATGATGTTTTGTCAGAAGTTTTGTGAGCAGATTTCACAGCTGAGTTTTCACCAAAGGGCTTTACTTGTTACTGACTGACTGCAGATGGCAGGGGAAACGCTGGCACGGATTATCGTTTATAGATGTTAGTGCTCCTAAACCAGTTATGTTAGCACCGTTTGTTTAAATCTGACAGTTACTGTTCTGCTATTGATCCTTTTGAAAGATGGTGCTCGTGGGCCAACACCAAGCACACGGAGACTCTCTGGCATTAGAGATGGAAGAGAAAAGGCAGCACCCTTTCAGCTACTGAAAAATGATTTGATGGAATTGTGTCTAAAAACCAGAGCTTCAGCAGCTTTTATAGGTAATAGGAAGCTAGTTCCTGATGAAACTCGAATATAAATGAAGAGGGGTTTTGAGAAAAAACCGATGGGTAGTTATTGTGAAACAACATAATAACATTTCTTGAAGAATTAAAAAAAGACCAAAGCCCCCCAAAAGAATAGCCAAGTAAAAGGCTTTTGCATCCCCGGAGATTTGAGAATCTCCTGGCAGACACGGTTTTTTTGGTTTCTGTATCGCTATTGTGAAATGTCTTTCATGCAAACTAATTATTTAAGTAAATGACTTTGCTGCAAGCTCCAAGTTTGAGATGGAATAATTCCACCGAGACGTTGATAAGCTTTACCCTGCTTAGAATCACAGTGCCCCTAAATCCCAGTCACTTGGGGTTGTCAAGGTCCCTATGATATCCTGAATACATTTGTAACAAACCTACAATCTAGTCAATGGTGCTTAAACTGTTATTAGGTCAAACTAAGTGCTAATGGAGAAGTTTGCTCTGAAGATTTCATTCTCTGAACTGTAGTCTGTGGGTTCTGGTAAAATGATAGAGCTTTCAGATGACACACTTGCTCCCAGTATTTGCCCACATTCTGGCCTTTCCTACAAGTCCTCGCCATTCACCAGAGCCTGACACTAAAGACCTGCCTTTGTTACAACGGCTACACTCAAGTTTCTGCTAATTTGTCAAGCTGATTGAATTTAACCACTATTCCATCGTTTACAGCATTACTGAAATAAAGTAAATATGGTCTAGGGAAGACTATACACTACAGCAGAAGTAAATGTTCTGCAGGCATAAGTGAGAAAACATGCAGAGGTTAACTACTGACATGGCTGTAGGCAGACAGCCTACTCAGTTGTGAGCTGTCCTTACTCATTCGTAGAGGTTTCCTTGAAACTTCCTAAATATGCCAAAACAGCTACCTTTTCTGGGAGACAAGTCTCTGAACAACTGCTTAGCCAGTGTAGAAACCTTCCCTTCTACCTTGTCAAGACGATACGTTTCTCCTTATTCACAGAGCTGAAAATAGCCTTCTATTACCAGAAAAACTGACAGAAATCAAATATATATTTGGTCTTATTGAAGATTTGTACAGAAGATTTGCACAGGAGATCAGAAAGGCCTTCATTTAGAATGTCCTCTTTTGTATGACAGCTACTATAAAAGTCTTTCAGCAATAGCGGGGCACGCTGTAATACAGCATATGCTGTACATAGCTTTCCATGGCAATTAGTCAAATTTCAGTACCAAACTCTTCATTGAATAATCCTGACAATAACGCAATGCAGAAAGTTTTTTGAAAGAAGAAAAGAGAGCATCAAAGGCTGCCGAATAAGGCAAATAATATGTATGTTAAGCTAGAAAACAGTACTTAGCATAATTTTTGCAATTACACCTCCCTCTCACAGACAGGCAGAGACTCGTAAAGACTAGAAAGGTGCTTTCTGTATGTTGGTTCCTTCCTATTCCTGTTGCTTAGGTGCTCTTCTAAACGGTGCCTCTTTCTGCAGAGGTTATCTATGACACCCCTTAATTTTTTGCATATTTGTGCCCTGAGGTTCAGTGACAGTTTTGTTGCTGTCAAGCAATTTTAGACTTTGTGCCATGTAGTTGCTAGCAGTATTTTTCTGGGAGGCATGACTGATTTCAAAACCTTTTAGTCTTGAAGGCAGAGAACTAAATTCTCCATCTTCTCAGTCGCATCCCTTTGCACAACAAGCAAGAATCTTCCGCTTAGTTTCTGTGTAACTTGGTGTTTGAACTGAGGGAAGAATGCAGTCTAGTCTGAGCCATGGTGTTCTCTTGTCATGTGTGGTCACTGTGGAATGTGGCTGAACAGAAGACTGAAAAGTGAACTAGATGTTTGTCTGATAACTGATAATGGTATATATTTTAGGAAGGTGAATGTCAAGCCACAGAGCAAAATGAGCGGTGCTCTGCGGAGCACCAGCCATACCTGAGGGCCACGTTCATGGGGAGAGTGTGGAAAAATCACCAGCTGCACACTACCAAAAGTTGCTACCTGAAAAGCTAAGGATCTTTTGAAATGCTTTCTGGAGTCCTGGTCCAGTGAGACAACACAACCTTGGTGTTTTCTTTGACACGGTGTAACGCTATAGAATGACATGGCTGAATTAAATTTGTGGGGGAAAGGAAAAACGTACTTTGAGGATTCAGTGGTCAGCCAGCACAGGAGATGTATAACTGTAAAGCAACAATCACAACAAAATGCTTGTTCCATAAAGTAATTCTTGCACAGCAGAGAGAGGATAAGTCTGTTGTAATGCTTGCAGCTGGGAGAGCTCATCCTGCGTTGCCTGCACTCTGAATGAATAACGGTGGCCATGAGGAATTTCAAGGGCTCATTCTGCTGGTCTGAAGCAGTTGCTAGCTTTGCACCTTTTCTCCTACATTAACCTTGGATTAAATTACTCACTAGGTACACGCTAGGAGTTGTTTGGGTCTTTCAATTTGACAAATGAATCTTTGTGTACTTTCCTCTCAAACCCTGTTTTTCCTGCAGTGAAAAATCTCATTAGCCTTAAAACCCAGCACGTGGCCACATTCTGTGGAGGTCGCAAAGCTGCTGTTATAAATTAAGGCTGGGGCAATGGTTAGGAGTTGAGCTTTGGGAAATTCAAATTGGACATTAGGGAAACAATATCTACGAGGAGGGTAGTTTAGTGCTGGAATGGTGCCTGGAGAGCTCATGGAAGGCTTTCAAGTGTCAGCTAGGCAGAAGCGTGGTTGACTTGATCTACTGTTTGTGATAGTACTGCTCTGCGTGGGAAGCTGGGCTAGAGATCTCTGGGGGCCTCCTCCTTTAGCGTTTCTATGAATCTGTGATGGCGCATGTACATCAACAAGGGAGTGATTTTGTTTTTTCATAGTCACAGAGATTCCGTTGTTATAAAAGAAGTGGTAGCAGCCACGTGTTTGGAGAACGTTCTTTTGAAGTCGTAGCTCTTCTTTCTTTCCAGTCAAAGCGTTGTATAGTCCTTAGTCCCATGGATGACTACTTGGAAAAGACTGTTTGACACCACCTTTGTGGCCAGAAGGCCACGTGCCCACCCGCTATCGATGGATGTAGTTTCACTGACTCCTCTGCAACAGTGCTACTTTATTCCTGTGAGGAATCGAGCCAAACATAGGGAGAGCTGGTCTGCAATGAGATACCGCAATTCGTATGGTCATGACTGGGATCTGTGGGAATTTGTAACCTAGCATACAGCTCTTCTTGTGGGATGTTCCTCATCTGGCGATTTAGTGCCGATGCTACTTTGTGGTAAAGCACTATTTGGAATTGACATTGAACAATCTCAATGGTAGGGTGGCGTCAAGGTAAGGAAGCCAGTATATGCTGTTATTGGGCTACAGAAGGTACTGCTTAGTCGCGAGTGCGTATGCTTCGCTCTGATTGCTCTTACCGGTTGCCTGATTATGAGACACTGAGCATTGCGGAGCTGTTAGAAGATGGAAATAAGGTTAATCTGGGGACCAAAGGTTTGAATGTGTCTTTTTCTCTCGATCTTCAAAATGTGCTTCCTGTGGATGTAAAATTACTAAAATACATTTTAAAGTGTTGAATTTTATCCTTTTCTGCCATTTAAGTCCTTAAGTATGTTGTTTCAGTTCCTTTATGGTTTTTGAAAGGCTGACCGTATTCCATTCTGCACAGGGCATGTGATGCCCTTTTATGCTGAAACTGTGGAAGTTTAAGATAATGCAGATCAAAAGAACAAATCAAGTGTGACTTCTCCTCTGGCCATTGGTGTGTGCACTCCACTCCTTGTTTGTTTGAAACGGTCAAGGTAAAGATATTGTCATGGCCAAAATCTCTGTCTTCCATCCCTACTGAATAACATAGGGAATGCTAGCTTTTTGCTGCTTGTTCCGGTTGCCGTGTTCATCGTCTGCTCTGTTAGTTTCCTTACAGCGGCACTGATAGTCAAAAGACTATCAATAACGCATCATATGGAATAATTAAACGTTCCTTTTGTTTCAAGGGATACTGTCAGATTGAGACGGGCCCAAGATTTAGGTCTTACAATAACTTTTACAAAACCTACAAGGAGCTGGTGACCTCAACTAAACTAAATGTCCCCCTCTGCCATCCTCATTGGTTAGTGATTCTTTGTGGTGTTTTGATACTTGGCTTCGAAATCAAAACAAGGCTTAGGCTCGATCAACTTGGATGTTTACTGTACTCATTTTCTCTTCCAGGATGATTCCAGCTGCTAGTAAATCCTTCTTCTTGACTGATCTGGTTGCAGGACGTGAGTACGACCTCTGTGTTCTTGCTGTTTATGATGATGGCTTGACATCTTTGACCGCAACCAGAGTGATCGGATGTGTGCAGTTCACAACCCAGGAAGAATACAAACAGTGCCAATCCCTTCACGCGCAGTTTCTTGGAGGAACCATGATCATCATTATTGGGGGTATCATTGTGGCTTCAGTTCTTGTTTTCATCTTCATCCTCCTCATGAAATACAAAGTCTACAACAACCACCACAAAAATAAAACTACTAAAGTGAATAATGTCTGCTCTCAAACCAATGGAAGCCAAAGTGGCTCGATGGCTCGATCCACTTCTAAACTTGCGGAGAGGCGGGAAAGTTTGCACCAGGAATGCTCGGGCTCTTCCATCAAAGGAAAAACTGTTGTGGATTTGGATTGTGAAAAAGTGACTCCAACCAACACAACCTTTTTAACAACTGATGCGTTATCTTAATGGCCATTTGATGGAACAGGACACGCCAAGGTGGTATTGCTTGAAACATTTTAATGCGAGTGGTTGTATTTTAAGCTTCACTACTACTGTCTATTTTTAAGATCAGATGGTTTAAAAAATATTTTTTTAATCTGTATACAGTTCTTGCATTCTTAACTATTTTGTTTCAATATATTAAATATAAGTGTGTGATTTACAAGATTTTTTTACTGGTTCTTTTATAGCATACACCTCTGGTATCAAGGCAGCAGCATAGCTAAATTCCACTAGGTTTGTCTTTGGTGAAATGCACTATTTTTTTCATTTGGTTACCAACCAGCAGCAAAATTATACTCTCAGGATCCTCAGACTACCTTTCTAACGGCAGAGTCACTTAGCAGCTTAAACTACTCATCTCTTCAAGGAATGATTTGTTATAAAAAGTTAGTAGCTTCTCAATACTGAGTTATTTTTTTGCCATAGGTATGTTGTATACATGCTGCTCACAAAGAAGTAAAATTAGCAGAGATTCCCCACAGGAAAAAAAAAAAAAATTTAAAATATAGTCTTAAAAAAAAGGAGAAAGAAAATTGAAAGTACTTTATCATATTCTCTGAATTATTCAGCGGCACAGAAATGCAAACTCGTATGTTTGCTTTGTAACAGCTGTTATCTGTTGAGGCTGTGCCTTTGAGAAACCTCCTCTTGTTCTTGGTAGTCAGATTTACCTTTGTTTGGGCAGGAAGAAGACCTGGTCTTGTTCTTTCTAAATTGTAAAATTCACAAACCGGTTGAAATTAGATGTGCTTCACTGTGTACATTTTTGCTATGCTGAAAACCATGCCATAGTCTTCCCCTCTGAAAAGGTACCGCTGAAGGTATTTTTTTTTCTTTTTTTTGTTGATTAATTTCTTGATCGAGGACCTACAGATTAAAGCTTCTGTGTCCTGAGGCACATTGCACTATCTCACTGTGACACTGCATCTTCAGATGGCTTTTATATCAGTCTCTTATTTCTGTAATAATGCATGAAGTGTAATGTAAGTGGCTGAGAGATGAATTATGTGAATGTGTCTGGTCAAGTCATTTTAACACATCATATGGAGTAATGAAATGTTCCTTTTGTTTCAAGGGATACTGTCAGATTGAGACCAGCCTGAAGTTTAAGTTTTGAAATAACTTTTACAAAGCCTACAAGGAGCTGCTGACCTCAGCTAAACAAAATGTCCCCTCTGCCATCCTCATTGGTTGGTGATTTTTTGCATTCTTTTGATACTTGGCTTTGAAAGCAAACCAAGACAAAACATTAATACCTTTTATTTATTAAACCTTAAGAAATGGAATGTGAAAGCAATTGACAAGAAAAGCTTGCAAGCTGAGTGTCTTTTAAGGCGATTATATCACAACTTAGAAATTTACAGGAAGAAAAATATTTTTCCTAAGATTGTCCCTTTAACAGACTCAGAATATTTCTCGTTTGGATATGAAAGAATGGACCAAGAAAAGTTACGTGGCAGACAGCCAAAAGCTGTTTAGCTACACAGCAACTGAGTACTTTAATATAGTTAATCTTACTAACTGCCAAAGTACATGGCATTTTTTGATGTTTCTGTGGTGCACAGATTTGCTGAGGCCTACCTTCCCTTTTTATCCTCAAACATGAAGGGAGGAAAAAAGTAATTTGAAGGGATTCTGTTATCAGGTATGTTTGTGACAGTGAGCTAAGACTATGCAGCTACACTCATGTTAGTTTTCTTTAAAAAAAAAAAAAATCACCTCTGTGTGCAACTGTGCAAATGGGTGCTTCTTGTTACGTAGATGATGGTGTCGGTGTGTGTGCTTTCCTGGATTTTCCTCTGGCTTCTGTCTGCCTTCCAGGGGCACAGACTCTGCACTGGCACTCCTGAAGTACAACCACCTGAACCTGCCTATGGTCACTGATTTGAAATGCTCTTGTAATCCCCACCTCTTCCAGAGAGCAAATTCATTTATCTGTGGCCAGACACAAAATTCAATGCTGGAATTTGAACATGGTTTTCTTAATTACTGCAGCCTGATTGCTATGAGTATCATGAGTGGCTCAACCCACCTGTACATTAAATCTGTTTATTGGTAATATCCTGCCTTTTTCTGCCAGTAGCAATTTCCGTCACACCCTATTATTTGGTTCCTACTTGTTAAGTATGAAAACTGTGCATTGCTGAGCAGCATCAGGTGGGGTTCAGGGACTGCAGCTGCAAATGGTGAATTTTGAAACTTCATTGTGTGTACGTACTTCTTGTGGGCATCACAACAGCCTAGCCTACCTGTTTTGTTGGCCCTTGGACCACAGGCAGAGATGGGGTGTTAGTCCATTCTGTAACTGTTTGGACTTGTTCTCAGGTTGTCCCTCTTATCATTAGGGGAGGAGTGTCAAACCAGTGTCAGCCATGCTAGCATCATCCTTGCCTGCAGGCAATGGCAGGGACATACTGGAATTTGGGTTTTCTGCCTTAGAAAGGGAATTAGGCTTTGGTGTGTTTCTCCAGGTTATTTTAAGAGCTTGGGGTTATTGGAGAATGACTCTTATCTCCTGCTGTCTCTGTAATAGAAGCATAAAAATGCAGAAATCGGCTTCTGAAGCAATTACTCCTTCAGAAAGATTATGGAGAGGAAAATGTCAGGGAATGGCCTAGAAAGAATGTCATAACCAGTGCTGCAGAAGACAACCTCAGGTGAGCAGGGGGTGATGGCGGAGCAGTAGCTGAGGGGGGCGAGGGCACAGAAAAGACCAGGCTCCCTCTGACCCGCCCTCGCTCCTGCTGCCTCCCCTCGATGTTGTCTTTGGGAGCACTGGCCTCTCCTAACGAACGTGGCTGAAGCTTGGAGGCATGTTGCCCTTCCACAGGAGACCACACCCTGCCCCTCGCCCTGCGCCCTGCTGTCTCTGGGCCCGTTTTGTGGTGGAGGAACGCCGCCCTTCACAGCAGACAACAGCC